ACGGTGGCGAGCCCAGACAGAGCGCGGGAACCACCTGCGGGCAGCAAGAGGGAAGCGACAGGACCTTGAACGCGACGGCCCCACCCAGAGCTGACACAAGACCTTCGCTGACGTCAGAACATGGCCCTATCACGGAGCCGCCTTCTCGGACTGACGGCTCCCAGTCATACGCCGGGGCCAGCGATCGGACCATGCCGCTGCGTCCCCAGCACGACCCCTGGGGCGACCCAGGGAATATGCACCCCGAGCCCCCTGCTGGCCCCCAGGACCCCTCCCTTTGTGAACCCCAACCTGCTCTCCCTGCGCCGCCGCCTTCCCCGTCCCGGGTTCGCTTCTGGGCGCAGGGAGATTGCGGCATCGTTCCACAGGTTTCCTGCCACGGTTCGTGGCACGCCTTAACTGTACGGGACCGGGCATGGATTGGGCGGGGAAAGCAGCGAGTGCCATCCCGAGGCCGGACCGGATTGGGCGGGCCGCGACGGCTGGGCCCGGCGAAGGAGTGGGCTTCGGGCCCAGACCTGACACCGCTGGGAGGACGGGGGGACCCAGCGGCGCCTTACTTGGGCCCGGCGTTCGCACAGTTCCCCTGGACCACAGCGGCCTTTTGTCCGGGAAGGCGCCTGGGCACCTGGGCACCCGAGGAACAGGCGAAAACCCTCGCACATGACGCCGCCACGTTCAGCGGGGTACCTAATCCGTGCGGGGAGGGGGATAGCGGGCACCTGGGCGGACCTGGGGGCGGCGGGGATTTTCTGGGTGGCGGAAGCCCCCGGGGGAGCGGAGGGAGAGGACATCGTGGCACCGCCGTGCGTCCTGGAGCCCCCGTCGCCACGGCCGGATTTTTGCGGCGATCGGAAAGGGGTGGATCCTTCGACCGCTGCTCGTCCTGAAGGCCTCTCGTCGCCACAGCCGGATGGCGGAGCCCAGACGCGGAGCCGCGAGCAGCAGGACAGACGCCAGCGGCACCATCGGGAGCAGGATAACGGACTCCTGAAGGACGACCGCGAGCGGCAGGACGTACTCCAGCAGCAACAGTGCGAGCGAACAACACGACGAGCATCCGCAGCTCGACCTTGCGCAACGCCCAGGACTCCAGCAGCGCGACAGCAAGCAGTCAGAAGATCGCCACCACTGCAAGCGCGAGCGGTCACACGGACTCTGCCGGGCAAATCAAGCTGACGGCAGCGACGCCGACGCCAACACGCCTGGACCCAACGCCCCATCAAACGCCACCGTCGTCGCCCAGCCCTGAACTCCTCCCGACGGCGCCCCAACCAACGCCCCTCCCGACGACGTCTCTCGCGGTTCCCTCCTCGACACCTTCCCCGACGTCCCCCCACCCCACCCCACGCGCAGCCCGCCGCCCCCTCCGGAGCCCCTGCCCGCCCCCAGCCCGCCAGTCGGGGCGGCGCGCGGCGTCCGTCCTTGCAGCCCGCCGCGTCAGTGGCGCAAGCCGACAACTGGGCCATCGCCGACAGGCTTCAGCACGTGAACCCACCGCCCGCCACTGAGGCCCCTCGCTCCTCCAAAGCGACGACGGCCGCTGGCGGCTCCGGCTCCGCGGGCTGCTCCAGCGCCAGCCCGCCAGGGGGAACACCACGACCTGCACGGCGCGAGCTCCTGCTACTCGTCCAGAACACGTGGACCGCATTACCAGACACTCGCGTCCTATGGGGCTCTGCCACTTCGGACTACAAGAAGCACGGCCCGGGGCGGGCGCGTCCTGAGGATGTCCCAACACGCGTCCTGCTCGACTTCCTCAGCCCGAGGGGAGCCATGGTGGCCTGGGTCGGGAGGATGCAGCAAAAAGGTGGTGAACCTGGGGCGGCCTGGCATACGTTCTGCGCTCTGCGTGGCGGTGACACCCGCGACCCCAGCTGGCACGAGGCTGCTTTCCTCCGCTGCTTCCTCCACCATGCGCCGTCACCCCTGTACTCACAAACACAGGAAGCTGCACCAACACGGCGCCACTAGACTGAACATGTTCCGCCCACCCCGACAGCGCGTGGTCCCCGACGGCCTTCGGCCAGCTTTGGCACAGGTAACTGCACCAATTAGGCGCCCCTAGTCCGGCCAAGCGCTGGCCACCCCGACAGCGCGCAGCCTCCACACCCGCAGCAAGGGCCACCCGCCGGTCAGCTGCAGCGCTGGCGCTGGGCCGCCTGGCGCCGACGCCCCGCCTGCTGGGGCCTCCCCGCAGGCAGGGAGCTCCTCCTCCCAGTCCCCTTTTCCCCTTTGACCCCGCGCGCCGCCATGGCGCTCGCGCCGTTGCCGCAGCTGGCAGCCCCCCCCCGTGTGGCAATGTCCCTGGGCCTGGTCTTGCCGCCCGCACCCACCTCGCAGGCCCAGCAGTTTGCTGGTGGCAGTCTGAAACCTAGATTGTCCGTGGACTTGCCATACCCTGTCAATCCAGCCACCCACCTGGGCGGCCTCACGGCGCTTTTCCTGACGTGCACGTACCCAGTCTTACTTCACCGACAGCTTCACTGATGTATTTGCCTCCACATACTGGGCCCCGTCATCGCCCGTGGGTGCCCCGGCGCTGCGGCCCGGCTGCTGCCATGGTTCCCGCTGACGGGGCCGGCCGCGCCAGCACGCTCGAGTCGGAAGTTTTCTGCCTCTGAGTGGCCCCGCTGGCCGCCCTGTTCGTCCTTTCACCTCTCCTGCACGCTGGCCAATTCGCTTGTCGGTGTCCCCGTTTAGCTCTATCGCGCTGGTGCAGCCACTCTGCCTCGCCGCCGACGAAAAAGTTGTTACGTGCCCAGGCCACCCAGCGGGATATCTAACTTGGTTCCCCCAGCTAGAACCATGTGTTTTTTGTTTTCCCGTGTGCGAGCCACCCACGGTGGGGCATCTAACATGTAGTCGTCTGGGGGGCCCCAGCGTGGGAGCCCACAAGAACCAGGCAAAATCAATAGAGCGGCACCAAAAGTGGAAGAACTTGACACAGTTCCTTCGGCGGGTGATGTTCTGACTTCCCCCTGGGATATCTTATATGGTAGTCCCGAGATGGATCCATTTGTTTTCACGTGTCCAGGCTACCCAGAGAAGTATCTAACATGGTGGCCCCGAGCTGGAACCGCCTGATTTTACATGTCCCAGCCACCCAGAGGGATACCTAACATGGTAGTCCCCAACTGGAGCCACGTGTTTTCACATGTCCAGGCCACCAACGTGGATATCTAACATGGTGGTCCCGAGCTGGAACCACGTGCTTTACGTGTCCAAGCCACCCAAGGGGGTATCTAGCATGGCAATGCCGAGCTGGAAACACGTGATTTTCAGTGTCCATGCCGATGGGGGGGAACGTATCTAAGATGGTTGCCTCTTGCCCCTCGCTGGAACAACGTGCTTTCATGTGCCCAGGCAACCCAGAAAGGTATCTAACATGATTGCCCCGAGCCGGAACCATTCATTTTCACGTGTCCAGGCCGTGTTTTTACACTTGCGGGCCACCCACGTGGGGTACCTAAAATGTGGTCGCCTGGGCGACACAAGCGTGGGGGGCCCACGAGAGCCAGACAAAACCAACAATTCAACACCAAATGTGTGATAATGTGACACGGTTTCTTCGGCTGGAGAGTTTCCAGATTTCCAAGTGGAGTATCGAACATGGTGGTCCCGAGTTTGGAGCCACGTGTTTTGTCACGTGTCCAGGCCACCCAGGCGGCTATCTAACATGGTGGTCCCGAGCTGGATCCACGTGTTTTGTCATGTGCCCATGCAACCCAGGGCTGTACATCATATGGTTGTCCCGACCTGGAACCATGTGTTTTCACGTGTCCAGGCCACTCATGGGGGTGTCCAATCTAACATTGTGGCCCCCAATTGGAATCACGTGTTGTTACATGCCCAGGCCGCCAAGGAGGGAGGGGGATAACTAAGATAACTGCATTTTGCCCCTCGCTGGAACCACATGTTTTCATGTGTCCAGGCCGCCCAGAGAGGTATCGAACATGGTGGCCCCGATCTGAAACCATGTGGCTTCATGTGTCCAAGCCGCCCACGGGAGTATCAATCACGCTGGCCCCGAGCCTGGAAACATGCATTTCCGCATGTACAGGCCACCCAGAAGGGTATCTAACATGGTGGCCCCGAGCTGGAACTACATGTTTTCGCGTGCCCAGGTCACCCAGAAGGGTATATGACATGGTGGCCCCGAGCTGGAACCACGTGTTTTCGCGTGCCCAGGTCACCAAAAAGGGTATATGACATGGTGGCCCCGAGCTGGAACCACGTGTTTTTCGCGTGCCCAGGTCACCCAAAAGGATATATGACATGATTGCCCCGAGCTGGAACCACGTGTTTTCGCGTGCCCAGGTCACCCAAAAGGGTATATGACATGATTGCCCCGAGCTGGAACCACGTGTTTTTTCCCGTGTGCGGGCCACCCACGGTGGGGCATCTGACATGTGGTCGTCTAGGTGCCCCCCAGCGTGGGGGCCCACAAGAGCCAGGTAGAATCAATAGAGCGGCACTAAAAGTGTGAGAACTCGACACAGTTCCTCCGGCTGATGATTCTCCAGATTTCCCATGGGGGTCTAACCTGGTGGTCCCGAGCACAAGCCATGTGCTTTCACGTGTCCAAGGCACCCAGAGGAGTATCTAACATGGTGGTCCCGAGCTGGAACCGCGTGCTTTCACGTGGTCCCGAGGTTCCGAGAGGGCCCCCCCCTGGGGCATCGCTCGGACGTCCATTCCCTGCGTTTTTGTTCGGTTTCGTGCGTAGTTGTTTCGCCAAATGATCAAGGATGCTCCTCGATGGTCCTCGCCGAGAAAAAATGCACACGTCCGAGCGATGCCAGGGCGAAGGCGGCCCAGCGAGGAGGCCCCCAGGGGCGCCCAAAGACAGCCCCACCGCAGGAAGACCGCTCGGAGCGCCGAGAGGGCACCGAAAGCCCCCCAAACAAGACCCAAAACAACACCCCCAAAATCATCATAAATCTCCCTTTCCTCCATATCTCCCTTCCGGAGAGGCAATGTAGGCTTGCACGCGCCGCGTCGCAACTCTCCGCCCGCGTCCTGGGCACTCTGAGTGACGGCAAGGATGCTCGCGTTCAACTGGCTCATCTCTTCCTGCTGGCGCGGGCGAGGCAAAAGCAGCCAGAACGAACAAGGCACGCAAGCAAGGACATACTGCTAGGAATGAGGGAAAGGTTAGGGAAGAGGAGGTGAGGGATGACAACAATGACGAGGGAGGAGAAATTCAAGCAAATGAGAGAGGACAGCTGGCTTGAGGCGAACCAAGCGAAATGATAAGGATAGAGATGCGGACGAAGACGAGGACTAGGACGGGAAAAAGGACGGGGGTGCCGAGGAAGATGCGCACGACGATGTAGGCGAGGACGAGGCTAAGGCTGAGGATGAGGTCGCACCGACTCATCAGAGAAGAGATCAAACCCCGCGTTGTCTCGAGGTGCTGAAATGGTATGGCATCATCACAATGTGATGGCGGCTTGCAACTGGGGCTCACATTTACACGATTTACGTGCTCGATTGAACTCAGCCGTACGTCAGCCAGACAACGGCGCCGGCGGCGATAACTGTAGGACCAGCTCTCGGCAGAGCAACAAGCGAAGGTATGCTTCATCAGGCGCGCGCATCATGGCCCAAGTGAGCGACGATCAAAAACGGGCCTCGCGCGAGATGACGCAGCGACCCTACGCGGTGGCTTACGCGGGCCGCCGGCGCGGCGCGCTGCATTGGAGACGAGGGTGCCTACGCGCGACCTTACGCGAGCAGCTTGCGCGACTAGTGTCGGCGCAGACGGCCCCGTCTGGCGGCGTCGCTCGAGTGCTACTCCACCCAACGAGAGCACCGCGGCCCACGGAGGTCATTTTTTGGGGGGGAATGAAAAGACCCGAAGGGAAAGTACACGGCACCCAAACGGTCACACTTGAGACAGCCACTCTGGCTCAAAATTTTGGCCGCCACCAAAGCGACCCTAAGAATCCAAACAACCTCAACGACTTGCCTGCAGAGGCTTCCTTCAAACGAATCACGCAGGCCCACGGAGGTCATGCCCCACGCAGCAGCTCGCTCGTCCTCGTTGCCCGCGACTCGCCCGTGGGTGCTGGGGGGGGGAGTCCAGCGCCGATGGACGAGATCCGCGCGCGCCTCCGCCAGTGTGTGGTTCTGCCGCTGTAAGATCGCTCGTCACCGTTGCCCACGACTCGCCCGCGCGTGCAGGGGGGTGACTACCTACCAGACCACCCCAACCCAACCCGAAGACCCCAATTTCGGGTTGGGGGGGGTACGGGCTCCATACGTGTTTTTTCGATGTTCCCCGACCCCCCCCCCAACTGGAAATGGAGGGCAAATTGAGGCCTTCGGGTTGGGTTGGGGTGGTTTGGTGGGTGGTGAGGGGGGGGTCCAGCGCCGATGGAAGACATCCGTGCGGACCTCCGACGGTGCACAGCCGTGCCGCTGCGCTCCGCCCCCGCGGCAGGCCGGGCACGAGGCGGCCGCTGCCCCGCGCCCCTCCTGGAGCTGCGCCTCCGCCTCCAGGTGCGCGTCGATCTCCGCCGTGAGCTCCCCGATGGAGGCCTGCTCAGGGAGGGCCACGGAGAAGAGGAACATTGAAGGGGCCCAAGGACACACAAATAAATACACACAAATAAAACTATTCACCATATTTTCCCATATTTTCTGGGTTTCTGTCTTCCCCCCCACTTCCCATATTTTCCCATATTTTCTGGAGAATCGACGATTAATTGTGTCTGTGTGTTTCTTTTCCCCCTGAAACATGCGAGAAGAGAAGCAAAAGGCGAGGAGAGAGGTTGGAACAGGACTGGAGGCACGGGAGGGGGAGCACGAAGAGGAGCGGGGGAGGCGAGGGACCCAAGGGATCCGAGGGGATCAGAACAGGAAGATCAGGTGGAGAACGAACACGGTTTGAGAAGGCGTTGTATGATCGTTAAGGTGTCATGTGACGTGAAGTTCGGAGGGGACGCCGGGCAATCCTATGCCACCACCGTGCTCAGTGAGCCCGCCCGCCGAAACAGGCGCAGCGCGGCAGGCGCGTGTCGAGCCCACGGTGGCGCTTTACAGGAGAGCACGCCGACGGGGCCCCGGTCCTATAGGCCCACAATCTGCGTAGGAGGCAGACGTGCGCAACGCGACGCATTGAGGTGAGATGCAGTGGAGCCCCATGCAATGACAAGCATAGTACGACACGGCAAAGCATTGCAGAACACAGCGCAGTACGTCATGGTCTAGCAGCAGTGCGCAGCACTGAATAGTACAGCTTAGCATGGCGGAACGTGACGTGGCACAGCATGGCGTAGCATGGCATAGCACAGCATGTCATCGCGAAACATTTGCATGGCATGGCATAGTATTCCATAGCAGAGCATCGCGTAGCTCAGCTTTGAACAGCATTGCACATCTGAGCATATCACTTGCAGAACACAAAACACGGCAGGCACAGCACAGCACAGCACAGCACTGCACAACATATCATGTATAGTGGAATCGGCGCCCACGTCGTGAGGCGGCTGCCTGAACACAGATCCGAGAAAGCGCGTCTCTTCACAAAGCAAACGAGAACCCCTTCTGCAGAAAAAGGCGCGCAACGGCAGCATGCATTACTAGAGGCCCCCAGATGCGGTCCGCGTTGACGGGGTCGGAGGATCGCGCCGCATCGGCGACGTCGGCGATGCACTGGCGCCATGGGTAAAAAAATATCCGATCGAGCCGCATCGGCGATGCGGAGCGATTCTCCGACCCCACCTATACGAGACGGGGATTTATCCATATCCACGGCGTGGGAACCGACGTCCCAGGGACCCTGTGGGCAGTGGATATGGATATATGTTGGTCCCTGGGGGCCCAAATATATGTATATCCACCGCCTGTCGAGGTCTCTAAAATCGATCCTCCTGGCCGTGGTGATGTAGAAATCCCCGCTTCGGGGTCTACTCCGGCCCCACCCGGGAAGCCTTGAACTACGCGAGCGGCAACACGAGGTGAGGCAGAACACGTCCTCCCCTGAGGTTTTTTTTTCATGGTTTGTTCAAAATTTGTTCAGGGTGTTTTCACTGATGTTTTGTGTGTTTTGCCGTTTTTCGGTTTTGGGGGGTGTCCTTGTGATTTTTGTTCTTATGTTTGTTCATATAGAAACACAGAATATGCCCGCCTCTCGGGTCGGACGACAAGGGGGGACAGCCGAAGGAACGTTCGCGAATCAGCTCACGCAGCCGGCTTCCCCGACGCCTCCTGGCGCCGGAGGCGCCGATGTAATATTACCGAGGAAACATAAGACTGAGCAAAACAAAAAACTGGACACAAAAAAAACGGATCAGAAAATCAAGAAATCAACCAAAAAAGTTATAGAAACTGAAACAGAACGGAACAGAACAGAACAGAACAGCGGCCCGCAAGGAGGTGGCGCGGGTCCTCCCCGGCAATGCGCCGGGATGGAAAAGCGCCCAGAGGCGCGGCCAAAACCAGCTGCAAGCAGCAGACTTCGTAACAAACAACCTCCCGTTCGCCCAACCCGATCCCCCGTCCCTGACTCCCCCCAATAACTGATGCGCTTCCCCTCCCCTCCCCCCAAGCACCCCTCCCACTGCACAGACATCCGACGTCGATTCTTCACAACGTGGCTCCCCAAACGCTTCGAGCCCTTTCTTTGGACCGGCTTGTCATGCTGGGTCGTCCTCTGACATTCCTGGGGCCTGGCGCAGGACCCAGGAAACCGAAGCTTCGAACAACAACAACAACAACAACAACAACAGCAACAGCAACAGCAACAGCAACAGCAACAACAACAACAATAACAACGACAACGACAACACAACAACAACAACAACAACAACAACAACAACAACAACAATCACTTTACCCGAACGCTCAGTGTTCTCACCAGTGCCAGGGTTTTCATGCGACGCCAGCCAATACCCCCACTTTGTGGGGGGGCAGTGCAAGCTCTACCAAATATCCACACGACTCTTCGCCACCACCCACACCCAGCTTCCCGCCCTATGACGTTCGGACACTTCACTTCGTGGCCTGCGGACGACCGTGGCTACTACACTGGCGTGGAGTTTATGATGCGCGGTGCTAAAATTCTTAAGAAGCCCAATGGTTTTTGGAGATTTCGGCGTGCGCGCGCGAAGAAAAAACGAATGTGTCCCGCATGGTATTATTTGACAGGGATGATGGCCCTGGCAGGTGCGCAACCGTTGTCGCAGAAGTTCGAAAAAGTTGCTCGCAAAAGCCCGTTTGACAGAAATGTTTAAAAAGTGTTGGGTTTCCTACGAATCCGCAAGAGCGCGCGGGATGAGATTTTGACATTTTTTTGTTGAAAAACCATTGGTTTTTTGATGTTTTTATGTTAAAATCGCTGCGAACACTAAGGTTTTGGAAGGATTTCGTCTTGCGCGCGCGAATGTCCACTTTACCTTATTTTTTGCAAGGGATTCTTGAAATTTGATTATATTAGAACAAGAAATGTCATTTTCTATTGTTTTTTGCAAGGGAAAGCGGATTACAACAAAACAACCGGATCCTGTACACACCCTCTTTTCTGAGGCTTCCTCACGAAAATGATGAAAATGTAGCTGCGGCCTAGGCGGCGCAGGGGGGGCGCGCACCAGGGGGCCCAACAATAATTATTCTTTAGAATAAATAATGTTCAACAACAACAACAACAACAACAACAACAACAACAACAACAACAACAACAATGACGACGACGACGACGACGACGACAACAACAACAAAAACAACGACGACGACGACGACGACGACGACAACAACAACAACCAATTTAAGCTTGTTCGCTCTTACTGGCACGCGTGTCTTGCATTCCGTATACCCCAACCCTCGATACCCGCCCACTTCGTCTTCGATTGCGCCTTCTTTCGGGGGGAATATCTTTCTTGTCGGTCACTGACTGAAGTGCGAAGAAGTCTCGAGAGAGAGCGCCGTTCCTGAGTTCGGGGGCCTCTCTGGCCAAAGGCTCTCGGAATACCTATGGAAAAACATCGAAGGGAAG